AAATCCTCTCACTGGCCTGGTCTCTTACTATGGTACCCCCTTTTCAACCTCCTCTCACTCACACACCTTATTCCCTTGTTGTACCTAATGGTTTGTAGTACTCCAAATATGCTGTGTCTTTCACACCTCTGTGTACATATGCTGTTTCTTTCCTTTGGAAAGCCTTTGCCCTAACCCTTTTCTTTCCTGTAAGTTCTCCTTGTAAATGTCCTCCCAATCAGCTCACACATGACCTCAGCCACTCAGAACCTCCTCATATGAGAGTTACTGGCCACCGAGGCAGAGCCTCTCCCCTGATGCCAGCAACAGGTTTCCTCACCTTCTCATGGTTTGGATTTTTTCTTTCATCCAACCGCGAAATCCATCTACCATCCCATATTTCTTGATTGAATCCTATGTAATCAGGCTTGTGCCAGGCTCTGGGGTTTAAGATGGGTGCACAGCCCCTGCCCTCGCTGAGCTCACGGCTTCCTGGGGGAGACAGTCGAGTGGTCAGATAATGAACCTAGCACATCCACAGCCGCTTTGGTGGTGCAGCGTGTACCCAGGCAGGGTCTATAATAAGTGAGGTGTGTTGAGGACGCTATATGGAGGCAGGAGGGACATTTATCATGAAGGATGAGTAGGCATTTTGCAGGCAGAGAGGAAAGTACGGGGTCCAAGACCCTGAAGCAAATCTTACTTTGTTGACTCTGCTATTCCACCCTCCTACAACTCTTGCTCCTCACCCTGGAGAAATTAGGTTAAAATGAACTGCATGTTAGGTATGTGTGTATATATATATTTAAATCTTTTTTTCTGACAGGAAACAAATTCTCTGAATCAGAGAAAAGACAATTTATTACAGACCATCTTCTTACTAGTTTTCTGCATCCCAATCAATCCCTATGGGTAATGCAGTGAGAGCCTGCTGTTATCCTGAGAGTGCAATGGGGGTTGCACCACAGGAGAGTAACCCCGAAGTTATGAGACTAAGAGCTCATATAGGGCAGCTGGCACATAGGCCCATTCTCTCCTGCAGAGAGGGAGAGAGAGAGAGAGAGAGGTACTGATTATTATTCTGGAATGTAAACCAATCCCCTCTGGGAAGAGGAGTGGACAGTCTGCACTTCTCCTTTACTACCATGCAGTATAAGCAAATGGCTTCAGGAGGAAGCAAGTACCTAAATCTCCCTGGAGCAATGCACTGTCTCTAACTCTTGACGCATGTTTTTAATTCAGTTCCCTTTAGCTAAGTGTGCCAGTGCTCTTTGCTCAGAAAGCCCAGACCATACAGTCACATGAAAATATTCATGGGTGATTATTTTCCAACACTGAGAGGGCAGAAACCACCTGTGACCTGTTCAGAGGTCTCAATACACCCAGAGTCTAGCTCAGAGGATGCTAGATAAATATCTAAGAAACAGAAATGTAGGTGTGAAAGAATGGGGCAGGAATGAGATGAAGGGAAGACAGGACCACCTTCACTGCCATCAAAGAAAAACGTTACTAATTTCTCTTTTCCAACAATGATTGGTAAAATGTTATCAAATGCCTATGATAGGCAAGGTGTTTGGCATGCTGGGGGGCATAAAGATAGGGCGACTAAATTGTCTGAGTTTTTCCGGGACTGTTCCAGTTTTAACCCAGAAAGTCTGGTATCCTGGGAAACTTCTCAGTACAGCAAAATAGGACAGACTGTCACCCTACAAATGGGAGACAAATCCCTTCTCTTGAGGATTTTATGATCTAGAAAACAATCAAATCCCTTCTCTTGAGGATTTTATGATCTAGAAAACAATCTCAGATCCATATCCTCAAGAAATATTTAATCATGTCTTAGAAGACATAAAAATATAGGGAAGTGAGAGAGAATATACAGCTCAGGGGATGAGGGAAAGCTTCATGGAGGTGGTGCCATTGAAGATGGCTAGTATTATTTGTTAAAAAAAACCCCAACACTAAGTCTTTCTGAGAAATGGCATCCTGAACTCTTCTTATTGCTTTGTAATTCCGAAGTCTTCAGTAAACATCCTTACCTCCATAACAAGAATCTTACCACCCTGACAGTGGTTCTGGTGAGCTGGCATCCTCTTGCAGCTGGGAATGCTGTCAGGCAGAGTGCTGCTTTGGGTGTATGGGAATTGTCTGTAGGTGACCTCTAGGACGGGCTGAGGGCGTATAGGCGTGACACTGATATACTGTGCAGCAATTATGTGATCTTTTCTGTTTTCATGTCTCTAAAGTGGAGAGCAAAGTACTTAACTTCACTGGATCAGTGGGAAGATGAAGTGCGTGAGAATTCACATAGTGCCGCTCACAGTTTCAGGAACATAGCTGATGCTCAGTAAATGCATTGGTGGTAGTTTTAGTAGCAATAAGTAAACAAGAGGGGACGGTGGCTCTTCCTCTGTAGCTGACTTTAGACTTGTTTCTTTCACTATAATTTGTGTTAGAGAAGAGAGCTGACTGGAGTCAGAAGGGGCAATATGTGGCCTTAGGAATAGAGATATTCCTTAAGTGCAGCTGCCCATTTGTATGGGGACAGAATCTATTCCTTACAAGCATCGTAAAGTCAGGGAGCCTAGTAAGATATAATCAGATTGTTTTCTCAGTAGTAAAGCTTTTGCCAATGGTTTTACATTTTGTTGCCTAGTAGGAAAAAAAAGCTTCCACATAACAATTATTTTGCTTGTAGCTGTAAGGAATATTTACCAGTTCGTGCTGAATCTCAGAGCATATCCAGATTGATACAGACGCCAAACTGATTTTGCTTTTGCCTTTGCACTAAAATCTAATCATAGATATTATCACACCCATAGTACAACAATGGGTGTGCTTGCTTACTAGGAAAATGGGGGGTTAGAAGGAAGGTAACAGTTACCTGTTTATGTTGGGGAATGGGGTGGGTGGGCTTGGAAAGTACATGAGAAACAATAATGGAACAGCGATCCATTATTGTCATCCAGATCTGTCATGAATGAAGAATCAAGTTTTATTCTTAATTTTGTTTTAGTTGGGGTGGTTGGGGTGGAGTTGGATATAGCCAATGTATTTTATAATTTGAGAGGTTCTGAAGGACAAAATGCCATGAGAAGGGTCAGTCATGTGTTGTCCTCAGCTCTACTAGAGAAGATGGTTAGAGTCACGGAGGTGAAGTTCTGAACTCCTCCCAGCCAAGGCCTGCAGGAAGAGTTTGGGTTGTGTATGTCCTTGTGGCAGGCACAGGAGGCTAACTGCTCACCAGCCTGCCCCCCTCTTCTGTGTTAACAGGCCCTAATTTTGTTCAGCTTTCAGACGGCTCTTCCTTGATCTTGGGGGAAGAGGACTAATACCAGTGGATGAATTGTGTTTGGTGCAAGCCAGTCACACTAGGCAATTTATATTCCCTGGTGTTTGGTTTGAGGTAGCCAAGTGGCCTAGGAGAAGTCTGAGTGGGGTTTTAGGAAATAATTTTCTGTCTGGTAAGAAGAGAGAGATGGAAGAAAAGAAGCCTGCCCTTTTTCTTCCTGATTTTGGACTGGGGTTCTATGATGACATGGTGTTTGGTATTGTGGCAGCCATTATGTGACCATGAGGATACATCTCTATTACACTGAAGGTGATAGAATGAAAGATGGAAAAATCCTGTGTTCTTGAGTACATCACTGAGCTTCTGGATCAACCTGGGACTACACATCTCTGGCTTCTTATAATGTGAGGTCCCTATTATTTAAACCACTTTTTATGCGATATTCTGTCACTGAGGCCAAAAGCATCTCCATGGACAGAGCTCTGGATGAAGAAGTGTTGGAGGAATTTAAAGGCCCTGATTTTAGGAGTAAGTATCCATGGAAGAAGAAAAGAGGAGCTGAGACAGAACTGCGACTCCTGGAGAGGGCTTCAGTCACCACTGATCAGGACAGAGAAAGGATTGGGCTCCTGCTGATCAGGGACACCCGCAGTGCTCCCCACTGCTAGAAGGTAAATGAGAGCAGAGGTGAGACAGCAGAGGCCACTTGGAAGTGCCGGACACTGGGGCAGCCATGGAGGGTGAGCCCCATGGTTCTCTCCATGGGAGACAAGGAGCCAGGGCTGACACAGTGTTACAGCTCCAGTTGCCTGGTGGTGGTGGAGGAAACGGGGGCTTTACAGCCAAGAACTGGGCCCTTCCAGTCACTTGAGCAGAGTTTCAGCTTCCTTAGCTATAAAATGAGGACAGTCATATTAGTGCCATTGGGTTGTTATAAGGATTAAAAGACATTAACTCCTGTAAATTTGCTAGGGTATAGCAGGAGCTTAATAAAAGATAGTTATTACTTTTTAACGGATGCCTGCAGAGGTAATGAAAATACTTCATGATCCACCACTAGGTGCACGACCAATAGATGCTGGGTAAGGTCAGGCCAATTTGAGACTTGCTAGGTCTGGTGTTGACCTACCCTCATTGGTCTTCTAAGAGAGAAGACCCTGGGGAATGGAGTTTCTGGAGACCGTTTCTTTTCTGCTCCCTGAGGCATATCCAAAACAATAGACTATTTGCCATGACATTGTTTCCCACCTCCTTCTTCCCAGCAGGGAGGAAGACAAAGATAGAAAGGGCGATACCCTAGCTAAGTGGGTTTTCTAAAGTTCCCAATGGACTGGGCGTGGGCTCATCATGGTGTCTCAGACTCCTGGCAGGAGGAGGAGGAAGATTTAGAATATCCCCTGCCCATCTCCTCATTGACACCTTGGGTTGTAGAAGCACCAGGAATATAAATGTAATAACCAGAACCAGAGGCTTCCTGCTCACGGATATGAGGGGGGAGGTGGACCAAAATAGCCACACAGCATATCAGCAGACTCTGAGAAGCCACTCCTTTTCTCCGGAGCCCCTTCCTACACACCCTTCTAAGTAATTTCTAACCTTGTGATGATTTACAGAAAGAAAAAGAATAGAAGTTACTGGCGTTTGTAGTAACAGGATGAGAAAGTGCGAGACTTCCTGTTATGTGTGTGTGACAGCTGGTGATAAGTGGAGGGCCCTGCACAGGAAATCCGCTCAGCTTCTGCAATGTGACCTGCCTGAAACTTGGGCGCTCCTTCAGTCTGGATGCTGATGGCAGGACAAAGGGGCACCTGGACCATGGGCGACGTGGTGGAGAAGAGTTTGGAAGAGCCCCTGGTACCTTCTACAGATGACCCCCCCAAGAAAAGGGGAGACTTGGTAGAAATCTTAAATGGGGATAAAGTAAAATTTGACGACACGGGACTCTCCTTAATCCTGCAGAATGGCCTGGAGACCCTCCGAGTGGAAAACGCTCTGACAGACGTCATCTTGTGTGTGGACATTCAGGAATTCTCCTGCCACCGCGTGGTGCTTGCCGCGGCCAGCAACTATTTCAGGTCAGCACACCTAGGACGAGAGGCAAATTGGGTGCAAGACGTAAGGAAAATCTGTATTGATGTGAGAGCCCAATCTAAATAGTTGGCTGTTGCATTTACGGTTTGTATATTTATTTAGATTTGGTGTCTACTCAAGATACAAAAAGGAAACTATTAAACCTTAGATTTTAGGACTTAAGTCATATTAAAAGAGAGATTGGCATCATTTAAAAGCAATGTTTCTATATTATGGTGAACCTTCTGTGTATGTGTCCTTGTTCCAGAGGATGGAAAATTACTGAAGTCATGGGGATTTTTTTCCCTTGTCTGACTAGTGTTTTGGAAACATGATGTTGTCTTTGTTCACCAATAGAGGTATAGAAAAGGATGTGGCCACTCTTCTCAAGTTATCCAGTGACTTGCTGAAAATTAGGGACTTCTGTTTGTGCACAGGGAGTGGGTGGGAAGGGAAAGCAGTTACAAAGGTGCTTTAGAATTGAGAGGCCACTAGTTAACAACATACCCAGAGATCTGGGTTCCACTCTACTCTGCTCCTTCCTGACCCTGGGACGTTACATGAGTCACTTAATGCTCTGAGTTTCTGTTTTGCCATCTGTAAGATGGGGACAATGATGCCTATCTGTCAGGATTGTTGTGACAATTAAACATGAGGGAGGAGAAGGTCTCACACAGTGCCTAGCATCTAGTAGATGGTCAATATATCTTTGTTGAAATTCTTCACCTTGTTCTGCTTAGTTCAGCTAAGAACTGTCCATTGAGCAAGTGCTTGGAGTAAGAATGTGGGAGAATCTGGAACCCAGTGAGTTTGGATGGCTCCAGAGTTCTCCAGATTGACGTAGACCCAGTGAGAACCAGTCCCCAAGGGAAATGTGGATGCAGAAGGTATTTGGGGCACTTGAAAAAGAAATATTCTGATAATTCTTCTTAACAAGTTTCTTCTTAACTCTTGATTCTGGCTGGGGAAATTTAAAACTATTTACCTATGTAAATATCATGGAAGATATTTAATTTTTTCAGGTTTTTTTGTTTTGGTTTTTGGGTTTTTTTTTGGAGATGCTTATGGGAAAATCTTTGGAGTTCAAAGAGCAGGGTCGGAAGGTTGTTGTGGGACTGATTAGGTCCTGTATGTAGATGAGGCAAGGGGACATCTGGGTTTGTAGGAAGTAGTGCCTGCTACGTACCAGACAGTTATCTGATTTTATTTTTGCAACAGCAAGATAAAGGTGGCTGATATGCCCTTTTGAAGATGAGGAAATGGAAACCCAACATTACAAATCTAGTCATTGCTGGAGCAAGGATTGGGCACATTTTAGAAATTTTTGCTTTTATTGAAATATAAACTGCCCCTACTTTGGAAGCTTCATCCCATAGGAAGTATATAAAAGATAAATGCTGATGGCAGGACAAAGGGGCAACTGGACCATGGGCGACATGGCACAGCCATAATGATTGGTTGACATAGATAAGCATGTTACTTACTCCACCAGTATTGATCGTATGCTGTCACATACAGCATATGTGACAGCATATGTGACCCCTTTCAGAAATGAATGAAAATCAGCTTTGCTCATGTCCTGAGCACTTACTCTCAGTCTTGTTCACTCTGTTTTGAGTCACTAGAAAACTGCTATCATAAAATGTGTGCCTGATTAGCAATTTCATTAGTTGCTCTGCCTGGCTTTGAAACAGGACCGATGGCTGTGTGCTCTTGAATACGTCACTGGTTTCTCTGGCCCTGGTGTTTCCCAGCCTAAACAGAAAGTGTTTGGGCTCAGGTCCTTCCAGCCCTGCTGATGGAGGATACTAGGGAAAGTGTGTGCCAGCCCTCGGAGGCAGCAGTGGGGCAACTAGAAGCTGGAGGGAAATTCCTTCTATGCTTTTTTGATTCTTATCTTGGCATTTCCAAGATGACTGTCCTCCTACAATGAACACAGTCCTGGAGACAGGATTCTTTTTTCCGGTACTACTATTAAAAATAACCTTTGTTGTTGAGCACTTATTGTGGGTCAGGCCTGTGCCACCTATGTCACAGACACTGTCCCACTAATCCTCACAACCCCGTGAAGTGGGGAACTGTCTCCCCATTTCCAGATGAGGAACCAACCCCCTGAATGTCTCAGTTAACACAGCAGCCAAGCGGGATTTGGATCTAGGACTGACATTAAGTTTGACATTACCTCACCACCCATCTTGCTTTGTTTCTAAGATTTTGAAAGGGGTTGGGAACCAAGTTCCTCTTATGCTCAGACTTCGGAAGGGCAGAGAGTTTGCTCTGTCTGAGAGGCTTCCGACACAGCCCTCTGTTCTCTGGAGGACCTGGAAGCTGGTTGTAAAATCATGCAGGTTTTTCCCCCCTTGATTCACTGAGATCATAAATATTTTCCACTAAGTGATTGAACCATTATTTAATCAATCCTCTATTGACAGACATTTGGATTGTTTCTAATTTTTTTCTGTTATAAACAATTTTATTGTGACTAGCCTAACAATGTCATTTCATATGCATGCAGAACTGTCTGGGGGTGCATTTCTAGAAGAGAGTTTGCTGAGTCAAAGAGAAATGCATACACAGTTGTAGTGTATATTGCCAGATTCTTTTGAAGAGAGGTTCAGTAATTTTGTACTCCCCACAGCCTTGCATCTAACTTTGGGGTTTTTCCCTGTCTGATAGATGGGAAATAGTGTCTCAAGTTAGTTTTAATTTGCATGTCTCTTATTTTTAATAAGGTTAAACACCTTTTCATATTTTAAGGGTTGTCTGTAGTTCTTTTCCCGTGAACTCTCTCTTCACAGCCTTTCAGATTTTCATGTATATCTTTTAAAATCAAAATTTATTTTTATCAAAGCACTATGTGCAAATAGTTAACAAGGAGTCAAGTAATATTTAAAGGCTTGTAATGAAAACCAAAAATTCCTCTTCCCCTCCTCCACCAGTCAGACTTGTTCACAGGAACCCACCGTTTTTGACATTTAGCTGTTTCTGTTTCTTCTAGTATTATATTTATATTTTTACAAAATATGCTTACACTGCTCTTTCTTCATTTCTCAGTGGTAGTCATCATTTATTAATTTCCTAGTATGTCTGATAAGAACTTGGCACTTATACCCAAATCCCGTACCCTATCCTTCCTTTCTTTATAATCTCAATGCAATGTTTTCACATTTTTGGATATATTTGTATTAAAAGTTTACATTATATCCCTGAAAACATTGTTTCTTCTTGAACCAAATTGTGTATTATGATTATATACAATTTCCTTTCTTGTAAACTTTTTTGTCTTTCCTGAAGTTAATAATTCGCTCTTTTTTCCATTTGCTTAGTTTCTGGGGTATCTCTTGCTCACAGCCTCTCCACAATGATCTTTCATGTGGTCTGGTGCATCAGAGAATGTAGCAGTTCCATTTACCCCAATATTTTTCTCACTTCCATTATCCTATACACGTTCTCTGGACCTGCTGCCCAGCTATCATCTAGCTGCATATGTAATTATGGTGGCTGTAAACAGGGACTAGTAAAAAAAAAGAAAAAAACGGACTGGTAACTCAGACAATGTGGTTCCCCTTGGGGGCCTATTTAAAAGTCTGGAGCAGAATGAGGAAGCTGGGAAAACACATAGGGTTGAGGCTGAGAAAAGGGTGAGGGAGAATAAAACTTAGAAAGTAGCACATAGCATACATTACATGTCAAAAAGCCAAATGTCAAGGTGTCCAAATATTCTCAGGACAGAAAAATCAAGGGAAGCATAGATTTAACATTCATAATAATGTTTTCAGAAATATTATAAGACTACTAGTATCTTTTATAAGACTGCTAGTAAAGCTGCCATTGTGTTATGCCTTTAGACAGGTCCCCAAAACAAAGTCACTTGAAGGGGTTGTGTATCCTGAGTAATGAACCTGCTTCCCAAATGATCTCCACTTAAGCAAGTAGTTCTGTCCATTTACGGGGGAGCAACTCACTGCCGACGATGGCACACCCCATAAATGATGTTGACCTGTGAGGGCAACCTTGTTGTGATTCCCAGGGTGAGCAGAAGGAAGGGGTAGTTGTGATGTAGGGAGGGGTCATCAATCTTCTCTCACTTCTACCTGATGACTGACCCTTCCTACATGAATACAAAAACTTCCAGGCTGAGGTTGTCAACAGCAAGCTCCTTTGTTGCTGCTGTTGCCTGAAATCCCTGCCTGGACTTGGCCCCTGCCTTGTACCTGAGTACCTCAGTCTTTGGGTCTGGCTCTCTGAGGCTATGACAAGGAGACTTTGACCACTAGCTATAGAAATCAAGCATAATGCAGCAATGGGAAGGGTACTGTGGGCATAATTTATTAATCATTATTCTATATTAACTGGATGGCATAAAGGGGGCCAAGAGGCTACTCTTAAGCCCTGTTCAGATGTTGTAATCCTTTGTGTTTTTTCTGTAATGATGTAAGATGTCTAGAAAGGAGCCAGCAAGTGATAGAATAAGTGCCAAGGACAACAGGAATGAATTACAGACATCTGGGTCTGGGTTAAAAATCTGGCTAACAGCAAAAGTGTTGAAGGTCGTTCTGCCATGGTGGGTTGATTACTCCCAGTGAACTCAAATGAACTGATGATTGTACTTCCAGCATCAGGTCCTGTGTTTTACACTTTTAATGTTGCCCTTTCCCAGAACCAGCGTGGTGGTTAATATTTAAGGAACTATAGGCCTCTAGTCCCTTATCTGCAATTTCAAAATCCCCAAAGTGCTGCAAATGGAAAAGTTTTCAAAACTTATTTGCTGGCTAAATCCAATTGGAACTGTACCTCTCTGGTGGAGATACCTGTCCTGAACTGAGAGGCAGCTATTTAGAGTTTTTATTTCCCTGAGGATAACTGTCTATTCCCTGCTGAAGTACTGAGGTGTTGGATTGAGGAGTGCTGGAGGTGCTGTATAGTATCCAAGGTATGGTAACAGCCAAACAATTCTGAATGTCAAAACACATCTAGCTGCAAGATTTTGGGATAAGAAATTATG